CCCCCCCCTTAATTGAACTGTTAGCATGTAGTTAGAACTTAAATAGTTACATGCATCCGGCGGTAGGATTTTAACTAGTCTGATTTTTTGGCCATAGCTTTTATTGACAAAAATAGTAAATGCCCACGTGTTAACTTTTTCAGAGAAAAGAATTTGAGTTGAGAGCGGGCAAGATGACCCACCTGGTAAAAGTGCTTGCCGTTCTAGCCTCAGAAACCACTACAGGTTATTCTTAGAGGTTCACTTACAATGCTGAGGACCGTTCTGCCCATGCACACACAAAATAAACCTAATAAAACATTTTGCGAAAGAATTTGGGTCATTAACTTAATGATCAAGATTCCAACTGGGTTTCTCCAGAAGAAAATAGCCACCATGCTTATTTACATTGTCACTTTTTTTTTCCACCTAAAAATGGTCTTAAAACCATAGATGCTGGAGCTTTTCGATTTACTGGAATGTTTCATGGAGCACTGGATTGTAACTTGAATGCTCAGAATAGCTCAGAAAGATTTACAACTACAAATTGCATTGCAAAGTATGCTATAATAGAGCTGAACTTGTTACAAATGCTGGGGATTCTAATTATTTATGAGCCTGTAATGGTTCGTTGCAAAAAGAAAACAGCTGGTAAGATTCACAAACTTTACTGTGGCCCACTAGTGGCTTTGCGGGTCATTATTATGTGGGTCACATACATATGTGGCTGATTCTAAAGGTAAAAATACTGTAATTCCTTCTTGAATAGTTCTTTGAAAATTTAAGTGCCAGAAAAATCTTATAAATGTCATCAGGCCAATCAGTCGTGGAAATTAAGTAGTGCTTTTGACGCATGGACAGTGATCAAGCAAATACATTTATTGGACAATCATATAACGATTATTAAGTTTAGAAAGCTAAGATTATTGGCATTCTAAGGTCAGACACTGAAGTACTTGCCCAACCCAGTTCTCAAGTAGAAAGAGGTCTTTGTTCCTCATGTATCTAGGTAGATGAAGGCTTTTACCAAACCCTAGGATATGCTGCTGGGTTTATTTAAGTACTTCAGTTTATACACCTAAACTATTAGCAGGTTTGAGCTAAGCAAATAATAAGCATCCAGTGGTTACCAGAAACGGTAAACTTCCTTATATTCCCATACATTTGCAAGAGAATGACGGTGCTGGAGAAATACATTATATGGCATGAGAGATGTCTTCCATGAAGGCTGTCTTCACAAGAAGGAACTAAATATTTTTTGTTGTTGTTGTTGTTAGAGTGGAAATATGCCTTGAAGTAGGAGCAGGATCTGGTGTGGTGTCTGCATTCCTGGCTTCCATGATAGGTCCTCAGGCCTTGTACATGTGAGTATGTGGCGTTCATCCACCCCTCCTCCTGGGTCCCTATGACTGACTGCAGCAGCTCAAGTGAAATGTTTTAAACAGACAATATGTCTTTGATAGTGTTCTGGTAAGGCCTTAAGTCGTAGATTATGCTTGGCCTCCCTTCCTCCCCCCCAACCCCCGTTCACTCCCTCATGTTGTGTGATTTTAGAAACAACACAACTTTGTTATCTCTACGTTCTCACGTAAACAGTTTGACTGTTATAAAATAGATGCAAAGTTGAATGTTCTTGCAGAGAGCTCGGGAATATAAAAGCCAGGGGAATATAGTCATCAGAAGATTTTGCCATACACAGAACAAATGTGTTTCTTTCAGCTCGTTAGCTCCTATGTGTTTGGTGTAGCAGTTTCCTATGGGAGATGTCATTCAGTTCTCATTTGCTGGCTGCTGAAGCCATACTGAGATAAGCTCCTTCGGATGAGCGCAGACAGATTTTCTAGCAATGTCATCAGTATAACAAGCTTTTGTTCTCTTTGTCTTTGCCGTTAGGAAATCATTCCAATCTTTTTCTACACCATGTTAGAATTAACAAAGCATTCCTAAATTTTCTCTAGCAGGAATCTACTGGTGCACAGTCCGCTTCTGTACATCCTCCTCATCTTTTTTCTCACCTCCTGTTTCTAGGTGCACTGACATCAACCCTGAAGCAGCCGTGTGTACCTTGGAAACAGCACGTTGTAACAGAGTCCACATTCAGCCAGTAATTACAGATTTGGTGAGCGTTAATCCTCCTTTAGTAGTAATTGATTTCGATTAATTGACAATCGGTTTTAGTGGAAATAAGCTTTAGAAATTAAGTTTTGTGTATATGAGTGTCATGTAGTCCAGGCTAGCCTCAAAGTTGCTCTGCAGCCACAGATGACCTTGAACTCTCATTTTTGTTTGTTTTTTATTTTTAACTAATTTTTCTTTTATTTCTCAGATTATAATATAATTACATAATTTCTCCTTTCCCTTTCCTTCCTCCAAATCCTCCCATATACCTCTGACATGCATGTGTGTGTGTTTGTGTATGTGTGTATGTGTGTGTGCACGCGTGCGCACACACACACACACGTGCAGATCCTAAATAGAAGCTGCTCAGTCAGTCTGTATAATGTATGCTTTCAAACCTGACCATTTGGTATTAGGTAAATGCTGGAGTCACATGACCACATGTGACTCTGTATCCAGTTCATACTGGCTTAAATCTAAAAAACATTTTGTACAGCTATCACAGGAACACAGATGACATCACACATTCTTACCTCTGAGTTTCTCTCTGGTGTCCCTCCTACAGTCAGACACCCTCATAATAACAAGATGTTTGCATCTCTGTGTCTTATTTATTAGCAACTGCCTATGAAAAGAAGTGTCTCCAAAGTATTCTTGGAATGAGAATTGTTTGGAACCACAGGGACGGACATTTGAAGAGTGACTTTGACCTGGGTCATAGTCCTCCAGCCCCACCTCACATAGATCCTACCAAGCTTGAGTTGAGAATGAGAGGAGATAATAATACAGTCTTTTAAGATAACCTATTACGTGTTCCCTTGCATCCTCAAAACATACTAAGCACGTTTTTTAACCTTTTAAAAACTCGCTGGTGTCAGCTACTCTGAGCTGTGTAGTGTACTAAGGTCCTGTTCAGGTGTCTGCTCTGAGAAGAAACTGACAGCCCTCCTCTGTCTTCTCACCGTTGTCCTGTTTCTCTGTCCTCTATTGGCAGAATGTCTGTTCTTCCTGTTGCTAGGCTTCATGCAAGGAAATCAGACAGTTCTAAGGGCCTTCCATAGTGTTCCTAGTGGGAAGGAAGTCCAAGTATTTTGCTGCATGCATTGAACATTACCAGAGCCTTTTTCACTTATTTTTCTTTTCTTTTTCTTTTTTCTTTTTTTTTTTTTTTTTTTGGTTTTTCGAGACAGGGTTTCTCTGTGTAGCCTTGGATGTCCTGGAACTCACTCTGTAGACCAGACTGGCCTCAAACTCAGAAAATCCCTGCTTCTGCCTCCCAAGTGCTGGGATTAAAGGTGTGCACCACCACTGCCCAGCTAGGATGTCTGTTTTAATATTTTGTCCTTTTTCCTTTTTGCAAAGCCCAGGCAGCAGTTATTACTGGATAGCTGGATAGGACAACGTACTATGACTTACAAAGAAGTCTTCTCTAGTTTTCTTATCAAGAATTTCTGGAAAATTATATTTCAGAGTTCTTTTAAGAAATTTAATTTCTTTATAGAATTGAAAACAGTTTTCAAGCCAGGAAAAGAAAAGTTTCAAAGCTTGCACTAGCCCGCATGCACACCAAGTTACATCCAAACTACTTCAAAGAATAGTTATTGTTTCCTATTTTTAAAGGAGCAGAAGGGGGCTGGAGAGATGGCTCAGCAGTTAAGACTGTGGCTGCTCTTCCAGAGTCCTGAGCTCAATTCCTAGCAACCACATGGTGGCTCACAACCATGTGTAATGGAACCTGATACTGTCTTCTGGCCTGCAGGCATCCAGGCAGCCAGAGTCCTCATATACTTAAAATAAATTACTATATCTTTTTTTAATTAAATAAGAAAAAAAATTACTTCTGAAAGCATATTCTCAAAAATAGGTCTTAGGAGTTCTCTTTGAATTATAAGTTAACTGGCATGTCAGGATAATTAAAACGGGATTGATTATAGAAATCTAGATGGGGAAATTCTGAGATATCACTTCATAATGTATATTCAGTGTTTGTAACCCTGTCCAATACGTGTCAAGTGCTTGGATGGTGTGAATGGAAATGAAGTGACTTTATTCATAGTTTTAACACAGACACACAATTGTGATTTCTTTTTTTCCCCCTTGTTCCACAGAAACCTGTACCCAGTTTAAAGATCTTAATAAGCCAAACGCTGGTCATTTATACTCTGACCACTGAGTTCAATGCTTCCTTCTCTGCCATTTGATCTTGTCAGTCAAAACATTACAAGTAACTGAAGAAGCAGAAACACAGTCCATTCTTGGTGTTTTCTGTCATTCAAATACAGTCTATGCCATCTTACAAAATATTTCCCTTGGGAACTAGGCAGCTAGGCACAGAGTCTGTTTTACAAGGACCTAGGTGAGATTCCAGGAATGAATATGAAAAGCCAGACACAGTGGCCTGATTGCTTATAGTCCCAAAGACAGGTGGATTCCTGGAATCTTTCTGGCAGGCCAGCCTAGCCCCACAGGAAACTTCCAGGCCAGACAAAATACATCAAGATTGTCCTCTAACCTCCATACATGTACACGCACAAGCACGAATACACATACACTCACACACACCATTTCTTAGTTATGTTGTATAAGTTAGCAGACATAGCTGTAAAGCTCTTCACAGATCTACAGGGAACACATTTCACACAATCAGAGGTTGCTTGTCTTCACACCGTCTTCTAAAAGTGAACCCAGAGCGGAAGCATGTCTGCTGCTGAGTAGAAACCACAGTCAACATCTGTTCACTTTCCCCTAGACAGTAGTCATTTTTACCTTATGTTCATATAAACTGCATGTGCACACACGAAGAAAATTGAAATAGTTCTGCCTGTAAGTCCTTCCCCTCCTGACAACATGAGAGAGTAACTTTAAAGACTTACTTATTACTTAAATCGGGATCCAGCTTAAGTTACATTGTTCTGCCCTCAGGTCCACGGCTTGCTGCCCAGATTGAAGGGGAAGGTAGACCTGCTAGTGTTTAACCCCCCCTATGTAGTGACTCCACCTGAAGAGGTAAGACCCACAGCAGAACTCAGTCTCCAGCTGTTTTATGAGACAAAATGAACTTCCTCTGACTTCGCACTCCCCTGACTGTACGGAGGCTGTCAGTCACAGATGCTGTGAGTGATGCAGAAGGGAAAAAATACTGCTGCGGGTGCAAAATGTGACCTGCCTAGTCAGAACTCTCCCCTAGATCAGGCAGTGGTGGTTAAACAGGCCCATTACCCTAAATAACAAACCTGTAAAGCGCATTTTAAAAATACTTGTAGTCAACTTGAATTATTCACCAATAATTTCCTTCTCAAAGTCTTGGGTTTCATCCCTTCAAATGATCAGAAATGAAAAGTGTGGGACCAATCCTGATCTTTCATAGGGAAACAAGAGAAATACATGTATTTAAGAACCTCCATAGTGAGGAGCTAAGCCAGCATGCCTCTGGAAGGTAAAGGAACGTAGTGTAACAGATGAGCACTAGCTTCTCTTTAATTGGGCCTGTTGTGTTCTTTGGTGATTATTCTCTGGCAAAGCTGGTAAATATTTTGTTCGCCTCCACTCCAAGATGAAGGCACCCATTTGTCTCTTATGACTGCCCTCGATGTTGTGCTCAGGTGAACTGAGGAGCCAAAATAAAAGACTAGTTTAACCTTTAACAGTGGTTAAAAATAAGACGTAGAGACGACATCCAGAAGACTATACAAATTGGAGCTTTAAAAATCTGTCTATATCCACTGTCGCATTCAGAAACATGAAATCAAGGGCTGTGGATTGTACCTGTGGTCCCTAAGGAACCAGGGATGCATCCATTAGATGGCCCAGAGAGTAAGCAAACAGACGGCCACTGACACATGCCTGACTCCTTGTGAAATGGAATCCTCTCTTCTTTGGCCTCAGGGTTGGGCTCGTGCCAGACATTCCTGAAGTCATCTCAGTTATAAGCAGATAAAAGGGGCTCCATAGCCTGGAATCTTATCATCGCAGGAAGCCTTACTACATTGCTGGACAGCAAGTAGAGGGCCGATAGAGACTGACCCAAAGCACCACACCTGCCGAAACAGCCAGACCAGTTCCTACAAAAGGATGGAGTAAGGCTGAGAGCACCAACCAGGAGCAGCTCGCCCAGAATTAAAGCAGAGGGGATCAGGAAAGGGAGGTCTCTGGAATTCTGTTGCGGAAGTGGAATTAATGATTTCCTAATGTGATTGTGACGAACCATACTGACTGGATGACAGGTATAATCAGAATTAGATTAAAAAAAAATAGACATAGCAAATGTTAAGCACCAGCTAAATCAGATATGCTCCTTCAGTAAGGTACTGTACCAACATAAGGAATGAATTCAAGCTACTGCAGAGGAAATGAGACTCCCTTGAGATGTTGAGTGACAGGGCTGGGGAGATTGGGTTAGTGGATGAGATGCTCATCAAAGTGAGGACCGAAGCTGTATCCTCCGGTCCCATGTAACCCCAGCAGACCTGAGGCATCATAGGAAGCCCTCGGACAGCTGGCATGGTATATACAGCAGTGGGCAGGAGACACCTCACCTCCGACACGGCACAAGGCAAGGACTGCATCTGACCTGCACATGCCCACTCACACACACACACATACATACATGCTACACAAGACATCACGTGCACAAAAAAGAAAAGAATGTGAAACATGGTTGAAAACAAAGTTGCTGAAAATAGGGGAGGGACAGACAAGCAAACCTGAAAAAACCCGCCCCTGTAAGTAGGTAATAGGTACTTTTTTGTTCTGTAAAGTTTGTAATTTGATTGTAAAGGAATTATTTTAAATTAGAAAATATATGAAATATTGGCTAAAAATTAAAAAAACATGATCGCATATAAAACTAAAGTCAAATATAGGTAAAGGCCACTGCAAAAACCAGAAAACAATTGTGTCCACATGGATCTTAATTTCATTGATTCTTCAGAATATTCCTGTGGTAGCAATTGAACCCAGGACCCCACAAATGCCAGATGAGCTCTGACTGACACTCAACTGCATCCTGTCCCTTGAGTGTACCTCAGGTTGGCCTTGAGATCAGAATCAGTCTTCTCACTCTGGTCTTAAGTATAGAGATTGCAGGTGTCCCCAGCAACCCAGCACTCTGTTTCATTTGTTGGGTAATTATATGCCCTCTCATAGCATAAGGACTTAAGGAGTTTGGCAGAATGATGTTCAGAAGACAAGGTACAGTCGTTTGAAAATATGTATTTGTTTGGTGATGGTTTTTTGTCAAAAAGAGTGTAATCTCAGTGAAACCCGGGTCAAATGTCTCTGATTGTTGGCAGGTAGGAAGTCACGGAATAGAAGCAGCTTGGGCTGGTGGCAGAAACGGCCGGGAAGTCATGGACAGGATCTTCCCCTTGGCTTCAGAACTTCTCTCCCCAAGAGGGCTGTTCTACTTAGTTACCATAAAAGAAAACAATCCAGGTAATAATAATGATGATAATAATGATGATAATAAAGCTTCTATTTAACTATTCACTTGCTGACAACAAAAGTTGGAAGATTAACTTATAAAGTACCCTGGGCTGTTGAGCAATTTAATCACTGACAATGTGTTGAAAGAGGAAAAACACTTTTAAGAGGTAAAATGTTCATGTTTTAAAACCTGTTGTGTCTGTGGGACAGAGCGGTTTCCCTCATTCCTAAACTACTATTCAAATATAAACCCTGACTCCTCACACTTCACCCTCCATGTGGGTTCCAGCTCATGGAGCAGGTCTTAAACTCCAACAATAATGAGAGACGTTAGTCACTGCACTCTCATCTACACCTTGCAGGCAGGCCACTGTTGGAGTTCCCAGAATTCATAGCTGGATGGAGAGTGGTAACTACTTCCCCAAGCCCACCCCACTGTGTGCAGGAGCCTAAGAAAGACAGAAGAAAGCACTGGATCCTTGTAACTGTAGAGAGATGGTTGTGAGGTATCATGTGGGTAATGGGACATACCCAGGTCCTCTGAAAGAGCCGTTAAGTGCTCTTACCCACTGACTCACCTCTCCGGCCTCTGGTTTCATTTTCAAAAGAAGTGAATTCATTTAGACTCTGGGCACTGTCAGGATTCAGTTTGTCCAAATTTTCCTTGACCTTTCCCAAAAGAATATATGGTAAAGGCTGTCACCAACCAGCTAAAACTTAATCACTTGTTATAAAAAACAAGGTTAAATAATGATTCTGTGTAGTTGGAAGTTGGCTAGCACTACAGACTGGGCCCTTAAGTCTGTCAGAAGCTTCAGACCATCTTAAAGCTGTGTCCCACCTCCCTGAGGTCCAAGCTTGAGTTAACATTTGCCTGGCTTACACTGTTTAATCAGAGGAATTTAATGTGTTTATCATCGTACTAAATTGCTCAGTGATCATGCATATCGCCAAATGATTTAATTGAATTTTACTTTTGTTTTATTTTTCATTTTAGAAGAAATTTTTAAAACAATGAAGACAAGAGGTCTGCAAGGAACTACAGCACTTTGCAGGCAAGCTGGCCAAGAAACCCTGTCAGTTCTCAGGTTCAGCAAGTCCTAGTGTCCTGAGAGCCACTGAAGTAAACAAGAGCTGCCGGCAGCTGAACACGCAGTAGGCCAAAAAATTTTATCAGAAATTTATCATTTAAAAAAAAAAAAGTGGAGCCAGGAGGTGATGGCACATACCTCTAATCCCAGCACTCAGGAGACAGAGGCAAGAGGATATCTGAGTTCAAGGCCAGCGGATATGCAGAGTTCCAGGACAGTCAAGGCTATACAGAGAAACCCTGTCCTGAAAACCAAAACCAAACAAACAAAACCAAAACGAAAAGAAAAAGGAAAGAAAGACGTGAGACCTGACAGATGGCTCAGAGGCTGAGACACTGACCGCTGGTACAGAGGATTGGGGTTCAGTTCTCAGCGCCCACATGATAGTTCAAGAGGGAACCTGCCTTGTTCTGACCTCCAACGGTACCAGGCCCATACACAGTATACATACATAATTCAGGCAAAATACCCATACACAATAACAAAATAAACCTCACAAAAAGAAAAGATAGAAAGCTGAGTCTTTTTTTTTTTTCAGAGAATCAAGCGTATGAGTTTTTCTGTACATGTGCAAGTAAATATGTATATTTATAACTTATATTTTGTATATTTATATATGAAGGCATGTTTGATTTAGCCTTAGCTATAATAGCAAAGCAATATAATTATCCTAAATGTCTACCAGAAAGAATGCTGGTAAAAAAAATCTCAGTCTAGGACTAGAGAGATGGCTCAGTGGTTAAGAGCACTGACTGAGCTCTTCTAAAGGTCCTGAGTTCAATTCCCAGCAACCACATGGTGGCTCACAGCCATCTGTAATGGGGTCCGATGCCCTTTTCTGGTGTGTCTGAAGACAACAACAGTGTACTCACATACATAAAATAAATGAAAAAATAAATCTTAAAAATAAAAAATAAAATCTCAGTCTATCCATTCCACTGAACATATAGCCATGAAACATGTCAGTGTGTAGATCCTGAACCAGAGGTTTTTTTGGTGACAAGTTACAACTAAGTGCAAAGAAGCTGCAGCTGAATTTCATCCCATATATGCTATTTTGAAAAGCCAGCCAAAGCAGTGTATTGCTGTGTGTATATAACAAAGTTTGGGGAGATAAACTACAGGAATAAAAGAACTTCAGTCTTTTGTGGTAGCATTTGTTTTACTCGATGGTAATAATAGAACGCCAGTGGATTATAATCAACATGATAAAAACTGCAGACAGTCTAAACGGTGAGGTTTCATTCTTTGAACAACATAACATCCATCCCTGGCAGATTGCTCCCAGGGGTTCATCAGGAAGGGTCTTTTTCTCCAGTTATGTGTGAAGGCCTACCAGAGGCTAGTGATATCCAAAAAGTCCAGCCTCCTGTGGAGGTAACCTTAGATGATAATTTGCAAGGATTCTGACTACCTTCCCTCTCTGAGATACCTCTTTCAGGGGTGGTTACTAGTGCATTGCCTATGCCCCAATGGACAATAATCTTGTACCCAGCACCACCTGGACTCAGAGTTAATATATACACAGACATAATTTTTTAAAGATATGTGGGTGAATATATGCTACATGTGGCCCAGTACCTCAAGAGTCCAGAAGAAGGGTGTCAGATGCTCTAGAACTGGAGTTAGAGGTGGTTGTGAGCAACCCAACAAAGCGTAGTAAACCAAATTCAGGTCCTCTCAGAGCAGTAAGTGCTTTTAACCAATGAGCTATCTCTCCAGATCTCTCTATATAATTTAAAAAATAGGGTGTGAAGTTGCAAAGTAGAAAAGAAGAAGGTGATGGGGGAATGTGATCAAGATACACTGTGTGCATGTATGAAATTTTCAAATAATAAAATTGATAAGAATTCCCAGTTCATGATAGAGTGGTGTAGTTTCCCCTTTGGAGCTTCCATCGATGCTGCTTGTGAAAGCCAACAGGTTTTCACCTAATTGTCCACTCCCCAACTCTGGCACATTGGCAGCATTTCCCTAGGACCCAGTGGCAAGACTACAGGTTAGAAAGTATTCCTGAATCCCTAAGTTGTTTCTTAGTACCCTGCTGAATCTGGGTTTCAAAGATATAAATTACAGGATGCCTTGCTATTACTCAAAGGAGTCCTTGAAGTTCACAGTAAATAAATAAAAAATATCAGAGATAGATGAACACCCTTCCTGAATAAGACCTTTTGTAAGGAATATATGCAAACTAGAAAGACAGATATCTTTATATATAGATACTGAAGGATTCCATCACAGATACACATTTCTTTTACCTCTAATTTGGAGCAGAATATGAACAACAGTTGGATTGTGAGCCCATACGGCAAGGTTTGGGGAGTGGAACAGCTGCCTGAGAGGAACAAGCTTTATAAAGTGTTGTCATGGCTGCTCTTTGTAGTCAACTTGGCTCCATCTGGAATTAACTAAAACCCAAGGGGATGGGTACATGTGTGAGGGGTTTGTCTTAGTTAAATCATTTCATGTGGGAAGACCTATCTTTAATGTGGATCTTTGAGATGGGAAGATCCACCTTTAGTCTGGACCACACCTTCTGCTGACCGCCTATATATAGGAGATGAAGAAGGAAGCTTTTGCTCTTTGCCAGCTTGCTCTTACTGATAAGTCCATTCCTTCACTGGCATTAGAGCCTACTTTGGGATTCTGATTTATACTGAAGACCATCTGAGACACCCTGCCCTGTGGATGGAACAATTACTAGACCTTCTGTTGTAGATAGCCATTTTTGGACTGGCTGGACCACAACATGTAAGCCATTCTAACATACACATTCATTCTCGAAGTTCTGTTCCTCTAGAGAATCCTGACTAATACAGTTCTGTAAAGTTAAAGTCACATACCATGTTGAGGATAAGCTATATGCTTGACTAGATAATAGAGCACTATGTGGCCTATTTTAAAGCAAGCACAAATTATGAATGTGTTTGTAAAATAATGACCAGCAAGAATGAAATTATCGCTGGGCAGTGGTGGCGCATGCCTTTAATCCCAGCACTTGGGAGGCAGAGGCAGGTGGATTTCTGAGTTCAAGGCCAGCCTGGTCTAGAGTTCCAGGACAGCCAGGACTACACAGAGAAACTCTGTTTTGAAAACAAACAAACAAATAAACAAACAAAAAGAGATTGAAATTCTCTCAGTTGTTAGGAAATATAAATCATAAGAAATGTCAGATGTAGTGTAGTTTGCTCACAACTCCAACTGGAAATTGGAAAATTCCATTAAGACTAAGCATGAGGGGGCTGGAGAGATGGCTCAGTGGTTAAGAGCACTGACTGCTCTTACAAAGGTCCTGAATTCAATTCCCAGCAACCACATGGTGGCTTACAACCATCTGTAATGGGATCTGATGCCCTATTCTGGTGTGTCTGAAGACAGTTACAGTATACTCACTAAGTATATTAAATAAATAAATAAATAAATAAATAAATAAATAAATAAATAAAGACTAAGCATGAATGACAAAGTACAAACCAGAATCTTCTCACTATACTGCCAGACATGCTAACATAGCAAAGTTAGGGAGCAATTTGACATCATGTAAACCAACAGTTTACAAATCTTGTTACCTGAATTCCTCTGTAGCTCATGCCTCCGGAATACCTACCACATCTGCTGAGGAAGAATGTATTCTGTAGCATTTGCTCAAAATGGAGATTAGGAGGACTGGTAGGTGTGGTGAGGAGGACTGTAAGTATGGTGAGGAGGACTGTAAGTATGGTGAGGAGGACTGGTAGGTATGAGGTGGAGAACTGGTAGGTATGAGGAGGAGGAGTGATAGGTATGATGTTAAATGGTAGGTAAATGGAGAAGCAAGTTGCAAAAGATGACACAAGTAGGATAGCATCTTCCGATTTCTCTAAAGCAAAAAGCTGCTACATGTTATTTACGGATACAAACATATAGCAGGAAGTAGTGCAGACTTCACAACAGTAAGCTGGCTCTGGAGAAGGAAGAATGGGCCAAAGAATACAAAAGAGTAACATTTTATTTCTTTAAAAATCAGAAGCAAATATGGCAAAATAGTATGGGAAGAGTACAAGTAAAATATTACTATTTTACTATTTTCTGTATATTTAAAATTTTTGTAATTTAATAATGGCATAATAATCAAGTAATAATTATTCACACCATAAAATGTATCAAGTGTTAATATTATTTAAGCCATAGAAATGCATATATGTATATTAAATTATGAGAAAATAAATTAAAAATAAATTTTAGAAATTGCTATTTAAGTTTATTTAGAAATTGGATTTTAAGTAAATTTGTAACAGGGCTTTGACTCTCTGGCAATTTTAAGTTCCTTTTAAGGTAAAATTTTCAGGGCTGGTATCCTATCCATGAGTGTTGTCAAAACTAACTAAATAAAACGTGAATGTGGTATTATAAGTTTCAGTCTTGCTTCTGGAAAGCTTTCCTTAGCATTATCAGCAGCAGTGAACTGACAGCTATCCACACAAGTCTCAGAGAATGTGCTCGGAATCCTGAGCTTGAGCTATTGAGCACTAACCCTCACCTAACCCTCACACTGCAACAGGCCAAAGCGCTACTACTCTACTACTTCTCTTCTACTTGGGTTTTGGATCAAAAGTCAAGAACCAATACTGGAAAGGTTATGAACAAAATTTTATTGTAAAACCACTTTAAAAGGAAAAGAGTAATTTTCACAGAGGCATCACACAATCCTTGTGACTACTGTGTCAGAGGCAGACATAGAAAGGTAAGAGAGTGTTGTAAGGGATTAAGAGGTAGTAGAGTCTTGCTATCTCTTGCTATCTACACTTCACTCCATCTCTGAACCTCAAGACTGCAAGATAATAAATACTACACAGAAAAAAAACAGAAGACAGACAAACTGATACTGCACTTGTAACCCACATATAGTTCTCACTTTGGACTGTAATCCTGACCAGTTTCATACTATTTCAATAACAGTCATTTTGACTAGTTGATGGTAAGCAGTAATTTTATTTGACATGAGTTGCACCCTTCTAATTAAACATTTGAGACACAGATGGTGAGCTGAACTTTTATGTATCCTAACTACTAGATATGAAATGGAAGACTGTGATCCAAACTTCCACACTTTATACTGTGAATACAGTTTTTAAAGGCAAGGGTACTGTAACCAAAGGCAGATTTTACGTGTTTATACACTTCTATCCATTAAGACGTAATTTCACCAGGCTTGGTGGTGCACTTTAACCCCAGCACTTGGGAAGCAGAGACAGGGAGATCTCTTGAGTTCCAGGCTTGTCTGGTCTACAGGGTGAGTTCCTGCCCAGCCCAGAGCTATATAGTGAAATCCTATCTCAAAACAAAACAAAAAAAAACAAAACAAAAAAATTTTTACTTAGTATTATATCTTTCATTCCTAATTAGCTCTGCCAATTCCTGATTTGGTGTAACTATGGCTAATAAGGATAGCAAACCTTGCTTACAAAATTTACAGTCTCCTACAAGATTTTTAAATAGTTTTCTCTAAACATGATTATATTTTAGTATTATTAATTCCTTTCTTGATAGACTGCTACCATTTTACTTCACAAAATTATTAAATAACTCCTTACTTCAGATTTCCACTCTCTGTAGACTAAACTGAGTAACAGATTCAACCAACACATTAACAATTCAAATCTCATTAACATGGAAATAATTCTTTCACAAGCAAAAGATTAGTGTCAAGGATGTAAGTTATAAATTTCACAATTCTCGACAGAGCCCCTTAAGTTCACTCAGTTCCTTCTTCATGTGAAATTTCAGAGTATGCTTCAAACAGCTCTGGATAAGGATGAAAATAGCTCAGTGTCACTTTATCATTAAAACAAACTGAAAAATCAGAGTAATTTTAATTATTGTTTGTCATTACTAACAAACAGGTCTTAGTTTTACCTACAGACGTAAATCAGCTCTCGGTTCATCTGCCTTATACTTGGACTGTTCTACACCACAGACCAACAAACTGAACGGGTTTATAATATAGTTTATGCTTTCACAAATTTCAGTTCTATAATTTAGAATATTTTTGAGAAGAGATATATTTATTTTCATTTTAAATATACAAAGAAATTATGCCATTAATATAAATATTTTCTCTCAAATATGTAATATTCTCTTGTAAAAGAAAAAAGTTTCCGAAGATTTACAAAGCAATCTACAGAGAGGTGAGCCTGATTTGAGGATCACGCTGACAAGAGATGGCATTTCTGTCATGCTCACTGGCTTCAGGTCAGTACTTCAAGATGGAGCCAAATCCATTCCCTCTGGCTTGACCTACTGCAAGGACAACTTCCAATGAAAAAATCCTCAGAAAAAGGTCTCACGACAGAGCGGACAAGTAGACTTGTTGCTAGATGTAAACCATTTGTACTGAAAAGGAAAAGATTTCAATGTTAAAGTGAATTTGTAACCCTTTCATCTCACATATATACATAGAAGGCAATCTGTAGTGACAATGAGAAAGAACAAACTTAAGAATTTTGCCTCACATCTCCAAAATTAACAGAATGAAATGTTCTTTCTAGAAGCTATACTGTGATACAGAACTGTATACTTAGGCTCATGCGTAAAACTAAGGCAGAAGAAAGATAGATGAAGAAAGGAGCTCCCTCAGTGTCCTTTCACTATGGTGTTTGCAAAGATAAAAAGGCCCTGATGCTGGACGGCCAAAGTCAAGTCTTGCAGCCTCCAATCCTGGACAAGATCATCAATCCCTGAGTGCTAAGAGCCCTAGATGAGAGTATCCATTCCTTACAGTGCTTTGATGCACCATCTCAGTAAATCACTAATAATCTTTTATAGAAAAAGTCATTTCTTAGTCATAACCTTAAACTGTGTTGGCATGACAGGGATGTGCAGTAACTGGTCATGAGGTTAGAAGAACAATGTTGTCAGGTTGGTCCTCTCCTACCTTTACATGATTGTCAGTTTTAGGCAGCACGTGCCTTTCCTTTACCTGCTGAGATCCTCTTACTGGCCGGACACACAATCTTTCAAATAAAGATCACGTATAACATATACAGACCACAAAGAATGGTAAGAGATTTCTCTTTGCCTTACCAAGCAAGCTGAGTGGAACTTTTTCTTGCATGTCCGACAGGCTTTTTTGGGAAGAGAATAGTTGAAACCATGAATAACTGAGAAGCAGATCATACAGTCTTCAACACCCTCAAACCGTTTGTCTACATTATTCTTCCACAATGCTAAGCCTTCCATGATACTTCCATTCTGTTAGTAAAGAGGAAAGAGTCACCACACACTAAAGCTCTCCAAATGGTATTTTTATCAAACACCACATATTTCAGGCTGAATTTTAATTCTGAAAGAATAGAATCTGGATGATCATATTATATCCTAACTTTCTTAAATATTATTTTAAATTATCTCTGAATTTTTAGAAAGAACTCTTTTTATCATTAAAGACAGTCTCTACAAGAAATCCTAGGGGTTAAAGGCTTAAGCAAGATTCAGGCAGGGACGCAGCAGAGAAGTGGAAGTTTATAAGTGAATTAACCAAAGCTAAGGAAATGTGAGAAACCCTCACAGAAACCTACACCTTGTAAGTTAATTTAAATGTATTTATTTATTAGTTCATTAATCTGAGAATTTTACATAATGTATTTTGATCATATCTATCAATTCCTCCGTGGTCTCCACTCAGATCTGCCTCTACCTACCTACCCCTACCCAAACTTTGTATCCTCTTTATAAAAAAGAAAAAAAGTAATTTAAAAAAATTGAGCATAACGCTATCTATGCATGAATAGTTAGTTAGCAAGGTCCCAGAGGTCCCCAAACAACAAAGGCTGTTACAATTATCCCTGGATGCCTACCAGAACTAGTTAAGAAGACCAACACTGGGTGTTGCAATCACAGAGAAACCAAGCTAGAACTGACTGAACACTTGCTCCCCGCCTTCAGTGCCAGAAGGTGCTATGTAGGCCACTGGGGGAGAAACTGCTCTACCCAGCACCGGACTCTACCGGGCAGGTGCGCCCACTGGTGCAGTGTTGGCCGAGTGCTGTGAGGGTGGCCAGAGCTTTCTCACTGGATCTGTGGCCTGCTTCATAAGAGGGATTCAAACCTGGTATGGAAACCTGGCCAAAAGCCCATGGCCCTATTACTTTTACTTACTAAATGACAAGCATGTTTTTAACTTGTAAACATTTATGTTTCTAACCCGCAGATAAGTGATGTCCTTTCTCATGTGAGCAGCAATGCAGACTCATAGCTGATCAAATGCTGAGCAAATAAGTGACTTGTGACTGGGAATCCCTAAGTGAACCACTTGAAGCTTAGGAACATGCTGGAACAGGGAACAGAAAGACGATAAGCAAGAGGATATGGAGGAATGCTGTCTTCTGCACATGACATGACTTGTGCGCTTAGATACTCTCTGCAGCTATGGTAACCTGCACACGGTAGGTCAGTCAACAGTACAGCAGGCATGAAGAACATGGCCTAGTACAGAGCAGGACTATGACATGAAACAGACGAAGGCTGAAGGGAGACGAGCTGAGAGCGAGTCTGAGAGAGAAGCTGAGAGTGGGCATGCTCAAGATACAGAGTGTAGATGTAGCTTAAAGATAAGCTATTCTTTAAAGAAATAGAAAAAACTTTAAAGCTTTCTGAACCAATACATTAAGTGTTATGCTCTTAGCTTCTCTGAGAAAATTAAGTCATTTTGAACAGCTCTCCTAATTTTCAACTGACAGTGACATTATCTGACCATCTTAGCTGATTTACAATGCAATATAAATCTGCTTTAAAATAATTTTTATTGTAAAATACTTAAAAGTATATACTTTACAACATAGAAACAAAACTGGAGATTTATAATTAGCTTAAAGATCAAAGCAAAGTTGAAATGCAAGAAGAAAAGCCACTGAGCAAACATGGATCATTCTAGTCCCTCTTAAGGGAGTCCCTTGATTTCTGTAATACCATGTGTTGTTACTCTACATCTTCTGCAATATCAGTGGAATGAAACCCGTCTCTGCCTGTAACAGAAAATTAAGTACAGAACTCTGAAATGTAAAGCAGAGATGGCAGCTTCGGGTCATTTGGAAACACATTTGTGTTTATCTAAGAATTTGTTTGTTTTGTTTGTTTCCCCCCCCAAGGGAGGGTTTCTCTGCATAGCTCTAGCTAACCTAGACTCAATTTATAGACCAGACTGGCATCGAACTTAGAGATCCACCTGTCTCTGCCTCCCGAGTGTTGGGATTAAAGGAGTACACTACCATGCACATTAAGCAGAGATCATACTTTGTGCACTTTGTGTCCTGCTGTTCTTTCAGACTGATGCTCTGCAGTCTGGGCGGCCAGTGTGTAAGCGGAAGCATACCTGGTGGGTGAGGTACGTGCTCAGCTGCAGCATCCAGTTCCGCCACTGCTGCACAGCCACCCCGATTCTCTTCCCACTTTCCACTGTTATTGAGCCCAGTGGGTAATTGGAAGGCAACTGTATTATGAGTTCAATGACAATGTCTTCGATGGTGTAAGTAGCCATCACTTCTCGAGTAGTAGCTCGCGCCTTAACCTACAATACAATGCGGTACAATACAATAGAATACAATACAATTCCATTCAGTACAATACAATACAAAAAAGGTATTTTTTTCTTTGCCAAATAACTTCCTATTATTATTATTCAAACATCAAACACTTTGATAGATCAACTAACAGCTGAAGACTACAGAGGAGAATAAGGACATAAACTCATCATTTATCTGATACAAGGCATTTAGACAGTAGGTTTAAGAGCCTGGCATGTGGCAGAGTGTGATGGTGCATGCCTTCAATCCAAGCTCTGAGGGCAGAGGCAGGTGGATGTCTAGATTGGTCTCCATAGTGAGTTTCTTGTGAGCCAAGGTTACAAGTGAGACAGGGTCTCAAAAAAAAAAAAAAAGACTTTAACATGCTTAGGGTGAGTTTATTACATTTACAGTTGGTCTTACAAGGTATGCCTTGTGCATAGAAAGTATCTAACTGTAATAGGTTTCAACACAGGAAAGTATTGTTGATCGATCAAATGACACCCAGAATATTAAGTGTCAGCTGGATATTTACCATGTCTTTCTTAACACAGAAGAGTCAGAAAATGAGATAGATAATTTTCTATCAATTTTGAATCAAAGATTACAACTTGTGATGAAGTAAGCAATCAGAAATATAACTGGTATTCATTTATCTAGAAAAGCCAAGACAATACTAACCGTCATGCCATTGAATAGCTGTGTACTTGTTTGCACAGAAGATATTTCTTGAAAAGAAAGAACACTGCTGACATACTTGCTCGTAAATCTATCTACAATATTGAAGACACGCTTCTCACTGCTATTCCACCATAGCCTAACCATGGCAGGCAAGTCTTTTAAAGTCATATGATAGACCGAGCATGCCAGGTGTGGGATATGATATGGAAGAGTTGCTGTTTCTGAGGAAGAAACAAATTCCAAGTTAGTGATGTGAACTTCTCACCTAGAATAGCAGACCAGTAGAATATTCCTTAGAAGGCAACTGGCATTACTTAACAATAGTGTGGTACCTCATAAAACAGAGAAAGACCCCAACTTCAAGAGGATTAGCATCTTCCCACACACTCAAACTGGTGCACAACAATGACAAGAGGTAGGTGTAAAAATCCCTCTGATATAGAAAAGTCTGGAAAGAATATGACTCACACAAAAATCCACAAATGAAATGGGACAAGTGTTTTTAAAAGAGAAACACTTAAGTCAGTCAGTCTCTCTCTCTCTCTCTCTCTCTCTCTCTCTCTCTCTTTAAATTATAAAAGTAGGTTGCCTCCTTCACTGTCCCCAAAGCTCACTAAGCTACTGGACTGAAGTCCTAGAAAAACTATCCAGGACCTGGAGAGGTGGTTAGGAGCATTTGTTGCTCTTGCAAAGAACCGAGATTCCCAGCACCAACATGGCCACTCTCAGCTGTCTGAAATTCCAGTTCTAAGGAGCAGACGCCCTCTTCTGGTCTCTCTACAACTGAGTATAGATTGCTGGGTGTGGTAGCACATTCCTTATCCCCAGAAGGGGCAAACATATCTTTAGGAGTCTGAAGCTATCTTGGTCTACATAAGAGTCCCAGGCCAGGAAGGGCTAGAGAGTGAGACCCTGTCTTAAAGAACAAAAATTAAAAAAGAAAAGATTCATATAGAATACTAAGCTTCAAAAATTAATGTAATTCCTATCTCTAAGATCCAGCTATTTGTCCTATTAGATCAATGTAGAAACTCTTGCATTTTGGCACCCTCAGAGCTGAGACTTCCATCTGGGATTCTCCTCCACACCTCCGGGAAGTTTAGTATAACTGGGTCTGAGCAAGTCTCTAAGAAGTTACACACATGTAACTCACTGACCTCTAATACTCAGCTGAACCTCCTCGGTGAAGAAGGTTTTGGGGTCTTTATTTGATACCTCAATAGCTGTCTCTCCATAAGTAGGGTTTTCTGGCATTAGTCTGAAGAGATGATAGAGCAATTTGTTCAGACTCTTTGTTTTCCGAAGGTACATTGAATACAGAGCACGAAGCTGGTGAAAAGCAAAGAATGTATTAGTAAACTCAACTACACCAAGACAAAAGAACAAATAAACCTGTAATAGATTATACAATGTTACAGTATAATGTAATCCCACACGTGGGATTATACAGAAGACGTCAGTGATATAGTTCAGTGGCAGAACACTAACACGCACTGAGACAGCAAGCTCATCTCCAACTCGGTCATAACAGACAGAGAGAGCGAGCATCATTACAGGAGCACTCCTATAAATGAGACATACATCTTATTTTCTGAATCCGCTCCATGACACGGCACTGCCCCTTTCCTCATAAGGCAGCAGTGTCCCTCGTCCTTGTTAGACACATAGCTCTAATATCTTCCTCCCATCAGCTCCCATCAATACAGCCAGCATTGGTTTGCAGCTCTGTGAGCCGAGAATATCTAGTTGCCATTCCACACAGATGACTAACTCTACCCTCCCACAGATTCCTTCCACACCATAGTCTTAATCTTGCAAATTCCTGAATAAAGCTAATCTCATTTTCAAGGTTAACTTTACTCTGTATCAAATATTACAGCATTCTTTAAGAACAGAACACAGAAAAGAATGACACAAAATGTCATCATAAGTGCTTCACCACCAATCAGAAAATTCTAAATAAAACAATTTCTAGTTCCCCTTAAAAAGGAGACTCTGGTACCATGTGAGCAAGCAGCCGGACCTCTGTGTGATACTCATGTGTCGTAACTACTTGTCTCTCAGTAGCACAGTCTATTTTTCACATCTTTACTTGGTCGTTCCTTTGCTTTGGTCTCTACAACCGTTCCATGATGATTCCTTTCAGTGCACCACACACCTCACAGCATAAGCTGTAAGATCTGGGGCTGATGTGCTGATAAAACACCTTTGCAATGGAGAAATCTAGAGACGGACCCGGTTGGTGTCAAGTTTTACACCACCAACACATAAGTTGTATGACACACTGAAGACACAAACGGTTAAGTGCTTTTGTAAAGCAACTGAGGTCTACAACATATTTTCAAATACTAAATGAATAAAAGTAAATACAGAAGTCAGGAAGATGGCTCACTGAATAAGGGTGCTTGTCACACAAGCCTACCACTTAAATTTACTCTCTTCCTGTGGGCCCTATGATTCAATCCACACTACATAAAACTAAGTGTACTCGAGGCAAAAGGACTAGAAGTTGAAGGACATTCTAGACTACCTAGTGAATCTGAGGTCAGTCTTGGCTACATGAAACTGTCTTAAAACATAAACAAGGGGCCAGAGAAATGGCTCAGTGCTTAGGCGTTTGTACTGTTCTTTCAGAGGACCTCAGCTCAATTCTCAGCACCTACGTCAGGGAGCTCATAACTGCAAGTAACTTTAGTTCCAGAGGCTCTGACTTCCGAGGCACCCACCATTACCACCACATATGTACATAATTAAAAATTAAGTAAATCCTTAAAAATTAAAATACTAGTAATTCCCTTTGTGGGAATGTGTTTATGTGGTAGTGGCACGTGTCTATAATCCCAGCATTTGGAAAGGCATACAGAAATGCTGCCACAAGTTGAAGACCAGTATGGGGCTAGGTAAGTTCCAGGTCCAGTCTGGTCTACACAGTAAGACATTTCAAAGAAAAGTTGGAAAGAGGGCTGGAAAGATGGCTCATCAGGTAAGACCACTTGCTACTCTTACAGATGACTGGACTTTGATTTCCAGGTCCCATATTGGGCAGTTCACAACCACCCATAACTCCAGCTACAAAGGATCTGACCATCCTACACCCTCTTCTGGCCTCCAAAAGTGTCCACATTCACAAGCTCATACCCAAACATATAAACACATACATATTTAAAAATGAAATACACACTTTTAAAAAACTGGATCATGTATCAGCAGGATTAATACTGTGAAAATGGCCATATTATCAAAAACAATTTACAGATTCAATGCAATCCCCATCAAAATTCCAACACAAACAAAAAACTAAGGATAGGTAAAGCAATCCTGAATAATAAAAGAACTGCTAGAAGTATCACCAGCTCAGATTTCAAGTTGTATTACAGAACTATTGTAATAAAAACAGCATGGTACTGACACAAAAAAAATTATGTCAATCAGGTGAATAGAATTGAAGATCCAGAAATAACCCCACACACTTATAAACACCTAGTTTTTAACAAAGCAGCCACAAGTATATCCTAGAAAAAAGCCGGTATCTTCAACAAATAATCTTGGTCAAACCTGATATTTGCATGTAGAATGAAACAGATCTGTATCTTATCATTCTGTGGAAAACTCAACCCCAAATGGATCAAGGACCAGATATGCATACCCTGATAGAAGAGAAAGTAGGAAATGATCTTGAACTCATTGACAGAAGAAAGAACTTTCTAAACAGTACACAAGTATCACAGGCACTAAGATCATCAATTTATAAATGGAATCTCATGAGGCTAAAAAGCTTCTGTACCACAAATGACACCATCACTAAAGCAAAGCGGCAGCCTACAGAATAGGAAAAAAATCTTTACTAGTTACCATCTGATAGAAGGTTAGTATCTAGACTATACAAAGAACCTAAAAACAACTAGACAAAAGGAGCAATAACCCAAATTAAAAATGGGGAATGGAACTAAACAGAGATTTCTCAAAAGATGCAACACAAATGGCTGAGAAACACTTACCAAAGAAACATTCAACATCCTTAGTTATTAGGGAAATGCAAACCAAAACTACTTTGACATTTCTCTTACCCACAGTCATTATGGCTAAGGTCAATAAAACAACAGATTCTCACAAGGATGCAGAGGAAGGGGAACATTTATTCACTGCTGGTGGGAATGCAAACTTATAAAACCTCCACAAAAATCAGTGTGGAGGTTTCTCAAAAAGCTGAAAGTTGACCTACCACAAGATCTAGCTACCCCACTGTTAGGCATACACCCAAATGTTATTACAGAAATACTAGCCCATCCATGTTCATCACTGCTCTATTCATAATAACCAGAAATTGAAAACAGCCTAGATGCCCATCAACTGATAAGTGCATAAAGAAAATGTTGGAACATTTACACAATGGAATGTTATTTAGCTGTTAAAAAAAAAGTGAAATTCTGAAGTTCACAGGTAAATGGATGGAGCCAGAAGCAATCATCCTGAGTGAGGTAACTCAGGATGTTACCTCTTAAGCTTTAGATATATGTGTTTCAATACAAATAGCCACAGAGGCTAGGTAGTTAAAAAGAGACCAAGGAGAAGAGAGAATCTCCCAAGGAAGGGGAACTAGAATACAGTATTATGTAGAGATATGGCAAGACTAGAATAGGAGGGCTATATAGGGAAGATTGGAGAGAAGTGCAAAGAAATGAATATATATGGAGAAAAATAACACTAAAAGCCGAGCCCTTTGAAAAGTCATATGGAAACCTACTATTGTAGAGGATTCCTAAAGCATAGGTTTAGAATATGGAGAGACAGTGTCCCAACCAAACATGGTCTACCACTAAGTAAAGCCTCCAGTGTCAGGAATGGCTTACATTTCTTGAGTCATTGGCTAAAGGAGTCCCACAGCGCATCTCCCCCCAAACATCACAGGCTATTTCCAAGGCTATTGGTCACCTTCCACAGCCTGATGGTATGGCCCTATTGTTGAAGATACAACTATGTCATCAAACATGGAGAAATGGAGCTAGTAGCCAACTAGAAGCTTCATTCCCACTGAGTAGCATTCATGGTACTGGAAGGTAACTTTGTGTGCTAGTGGAGGACCTACAGGAGCCACCTGCTATTTTTATAGAAATAACCAAACTTTGGGGTTTTTTGGGTTAAGCCCTATTCCCTAAGATAGAACCCATGCCTGACATTGCCGAAGTGGCCAAGAACCTGAGACTAGACAGGTCTTGGGCAGGCCCAAGGGGAAAATGCACTTTTATTCTACTAAAGGAATATAGCAATAAAATGACTCCTAATGACATACTGCTATACCAATAGATCAGTGTATCCCTCAACCCCCATCAGAGAAGCTTCTCCCTTGTAGTAGTAGATCTACAACTTGACAATGTGCAGTCAGTTACTCAACCCTAAATGAGATGCCTTTATCAAACACCTCACTCAAGGCTCAGGCACGTATGTGGAAGAGGCTGCAGGAAGATTCTAAGAGTCAAAGGTGATGGATGATTGGAAGGAAATGGTGTCGTCCACATCAACAGACACTGTGACAGCACACACAAGACTTGCACAGGGTTAAGACAGACAAAATCCCAGCTCAGAGAAGGGGAAATGGACAGAAGAAGTCATTTGTGATACACTGGCTGGAACTAGGCCCTCACATATGTAGCACATGTGCAGCTTGGTCTTCATGTGGGTCCCACACAACTGGAGGGGAAGCTGTCCCTGACTCTGTGGGCTCTGCCTGTGGATCCTCTTCCCCTAACTGGGTTGCCTTATCTGGCCTCAGTGGGAGAGGATGTACCTAGTCCTGCAGTAACTTGAGTACTAGGGTAGGCTGGACCAGAAAGACCTCCCTGTTCTCAGAATAGAAGGGAAAGGACTATGGGGGAGGGACTGTGTGAGGGGAGGACTGGAAGGAGGGGGCTGCAGTAGAGATGTAAAGTGAATAAATAAATAAATTAATGGAAAAAGAAGTTACTTGTGATTGATTCCCCCTAGGAGAGTAAAACTCAGTTTTCTACATTAAAAGTCACTGTTTACCTCAACTACACTCCAATTTTGTCCAATTTTTTTTTTGGTGTGTTGTGTGTGTATAAGTAGGGAGTTGAAGGAGAAGAAAGAATATTATTAAAATATATTCCCTATTAATTTTCAAAAAGACACTAGATAGAAAAGAGAGTTTATCACCATATTAATGGAGGGAAAACATGAATATAACCCAGAAAATTCCATTTTGGGGTTTATGATACAAGAGAAATGAAAGCTTATCTTCAAAAAACAAAAAAAAAAGACACATTCATTAATTATAGTAGCATTGTTAATCATAGCCCAGAAGTGGCACTATCATAATGTTTATCAACAGAGGAGCAAATGTGGTACTATTCACAACAGAATACTTTTCAACCCACAGGAAGAAACTGATAGTGGTCCACACAAATTCAAGCGTGGCTACATAGTGAACCAACAACCTAGGCTACTTAGTAAGATGTAATAGGGGAAGTGTTGGGGAGTGGGGGAACTGGGAAATGACTGCTAAGAGGCACAGTATGTACTGGGTGCTAAGCTCTGAGGATGACAACAGCTTCCTAACAGTAACTAATCTAAAACGTGAGGTTTGCACTTTGCACAGATAAATGTTCCAATATGTTAATAGAGCTCTCTCTCAGTAAAGATACAAAACATGTGCTGGCACTGAACAACGCTACTTAACTGTCATGTTTTGATGTAATACATATTTCTGCCAGGTGGTGGCTGCACACACCTTTAGTCCTAGCACTAGGGAGGTAGAGGCAGGTGGATCTCTGAGTTACAAGCCAGCCTGGTCTACAGAGTGAGTTCCAGGATAGCCAAGTCTACAAGGAAAAGCTAGTCTCAAAACAAAACAACAACAACAAAACCCAAACAAACAAACAAACAAACCCATATATTTCTAATAGAAGGAGGAAACACACACAGGACTGTCTCCAGTTCAATCCAGTTTGCTAAGGGTTTCTTGAGAAGTTAAGGCATCCCATGATTTGAAACCATTACAGTTTTTTTAAACTGTCTCAGTTCATTTCAGAATACAGCTAATACGTTTAATCTTCTGTGACATTCTGGTTGATTAGTTTGTCTCCGGCTCAGTAATAAACACTGCTCATGCCCAGGACCTGTACAGGTCTGCAGCAGCTGGGGTCTTAGCGCTGACAGGAAAAGTAGGCCCAAACACCCATCCTTACCCAGAAACTATTGCTAATAGAGAACCACTTGCAAATGAAAACTTCATTTTCTCCAAGGAAGTCCCACTGGGGAAACCAATACTCTTAGGGGTGGGTCCCAGGACAGCAGTAGATAGATGCCCAACAGAAACAATGGTATCTTTGGAGGGGTTTGTTTGTTTGGGTTTTTTTTATCTCATAATGCTATGTTGGTTTTTTGTTATTTGTTTGTTAGTTATTTGCATTTTGTTGCTTGTCAGTTTCTTCTCTTTTTGTTGTTTTTTGTTGTTGTTGTTTTGAGACAGGGTTTCTCTGTGTAGCCCTGGCTGTCCTGGAACTCACTCTGTAGACCAGGCTGGCTTTGAACTCAGAAATCTGCCTGCCTCTGCCTCCCAAGTACTGGGATTAAAGTCATGTGCCACCACTGCCCAGCAGTTTTTTTCTACCTTACAGGTCCTTTGTGTATATTATGGGTTCCAGTTTTGAGTATTTATGGGATTACTGAGTGTGTGTATGTTTCTTGTGCTTTTTCTTTGGCTATTTTTCTTGGATACCTGTTTGTTTTATAAGGAGAGACAGAAAGTGTGGAACTGGATGGGACAGGAGGGAAGGAGGAATTGGAGCAGTAGGGGAGGTAAGCCTTTAATCAGAATATACTGTATGAAAAAATATTTTCAATTAAGAAAATGTTGCTGTTGCTGGGCACTGTGGTCTATGCCTTTAATCCCAGCATCACAAGACAGAAGTAGACACTGTGGTCTATGCCTTTAATCCCAGCATTCACAAGACAGAGGCAGACACTGTGGTCTATGCCTTTAATCCCAGCATTCACAAGACAGAGGCAGAGGTTGCAAGTTCCAGGCCACAGTGACATAGTGAGACCTTGTATTTAAATTTTAAAAACAAGTTTCTGTACAATCTTTTTTGGTTCCTGCCTATCTTTTTTTTTTTTTTAAATATAGAATAGAGTTTATTCAGGGCATGGGGAGGGAAGTTGAGAGGCTAGCGGAGGCAGGAACCAAAAAAGATTGTACAGAAACTTGTTTTTAAAATTTA